GATCGTGTTATTGTTGATAGCAGTAACGTTGCATTCTTCCTCCCAAGCGGGCAGATGTTTGGTGTTGCCTAGGGCATTTGTAGTGCTGCAGGTGGTTCCAGGCGGTGTATCCGCCAACCAAGCGGTGCGCAAGGGCCTTGAAGAGGTGCCGAAGTTTCGTGGAGATTTGTTTGGTTTTAGGGTTTAGGGTTTGGCGTTTCTTTCTTGCGCCTGCAGGTCGCTAGGGGGCATTCATGGAGGATGTACTGCCCACCCCCAAGGTCGGGCAACTTCTTGTGCTTTGTGAAAACTCGGATGTCTTCAATGTGCAAAGCCTTCGGCACGATTTTCCAAGACTCTTGGTTCTGAGCACAGATGAGCACAGCCTCCTTTGAGGTGATGCAACTGGGATCTTCCAACCTAAACGTGAGAAACTCAGCCGAAGATAATGCCGACATGTTGCTGCATTGCTTCCGAGCTTGCAGGAGCCGCTTTCCCTTGACAGCCAGCCACTCAGCCCATGGCACTTGAAAGAGAAGCTTTCAAGAAGATGAGTAGCCTAACTTAGCCCCCCAGGCGCAGATTGTCATGTTGGAATATGGCCGCTGTGGCCTTGGGGCGAAAGAGACCCCTGACTACTTCCCTTTGCGCTGTTTGCTATGCGATGAAAGCTGTCCCGCCGGAGTCAGCAGTAAAAGGTACCGAAAGGCTGAAAGCACACTTCCCCGCCTTTACAATAAACCACCCGAAAATGGTACCATGTCCGTTTGGGGATTCGTTACTATTAGGGGATGAGGGATGACGGGTGTTATTCTTAGGGAGAAGTGACTCCCACGTTGAGCAGCGCTTGTTCTGAAGGACATGATGGAAAGCTTCTGCAGCTGAGATTACCAACTCTGCCAGCGAGGCACAGCTCGGGGGATTAGGGTTTCGGGTTTAGGGTTTAGGGGTGCCTCATAGATGGGACAACAATGCAGCAAGGTGCTCAAAACCCTGCTGCTAAGCTGATAACGCTTGTCACCTCCTGAACCCAACAGACGCTGTAAGCCCCCTAAATCCCAGAAATTCCTGGAATCCAATACTGAGCCCTAAAACCCCATGCAAGTAAAGATACTAGTAGCAATAAAGGCAATAGTTGGATTAACAGTAGTGGTGGTAAAGGTAATAGCAGTGATAATAGTGAAAACATTCATAGCAAGAATAGGAGCAATTGTAAGCGTGAAAATATTCCTCATAATATTAATGGTAACAACAATAACAGAAATGGTGTTATTCTCATAGTAGTTTCGATTTTCAATTCACGGGCATGAGGAGGCTTGCCATCTGTGGGTAGGAGTTTCCCAAGATTAGTGGTATCTTGTGGCGGTTCCCATAATTTGGATCCCTAAGCTTATAACCGGTTGCAATTTCTTGAGTGTATCAAAATCAAACTGCCGGTAGGTGTTCAGGAATCACTGCCTCCTAGACTCCAATGAACCCAGTGCCCCCTTCATCTTAAGGCTTTGGGTTTAGGGTTCGCATCCTACTACCATTTGAGGTACGTTTGATAATTGAGGTGTATTGGACTCTCTGGGGCCCCGGAGCGTTGGCCCTTATCCTGAAGAACGGCTTTCCAAAACGTGAGGGTCAACTGCTTACACAGAGTTTAGGCTTCAGGGTTTAGGGTTTAGGATCGTTCACCCCAGCTGGATCTCTACGCGCTTTTGCCTTCAGGTTCGGGAGGGCAATAGCTTCAACCCTAAACACCGAAACACAAAAAAAAACCTAAACCCCCTAAAGCCCTAGACCCTAAATCTTAGCCTTGGTGTTCAACCTTTGAAGCTTGACCTCAGTATGTTGAGTATAGATTTTAATCCAGAGACCGCATGTGAGATCCTTCCATTTTGAGGTCTGCTTGCTCGGGGTTAGTAGGGAAGAAAGGAACATATTACAGGATTTATGGTTTAGGGCTTAGGGTTGATGGTTTTGGGGTTTAGGGTCAGTAGAGAATCAGGGAATACATTATATAGGGACTCGATTTAGCAATTAGGCAGCCAGGTTTCGCAGGCCCGAATGCATGGAGGTTGATTATAGAAAGCACTTCAGCACTTAAACCCGAAAACAATCTTACCCTAAACCACTTAAGCACTGAGACATGAGACTTATGACCTTCATGCCAATCTTTGTGCACAAGAAACCACTCGCCAGGCCCTCTTGCCCTGCGACTGAATGCTGTGTGCTCAAAGACGGCTTCGTTGGAAATCCAAAAAGGCAGCGGAGTCATGTTTTGTTCCCACGACAGATGATCGCATATATAAACCGCAATGTATTGTAATCCTTATCATTAGGACCCCCAGAAAAGTAACCATTTTGGGACGGAGGCTACAGGTATCCCCAATTTGGGAAACCCCGATTTAGTCATTCTTGCTGTCTCGCTTTCTCGCGCGGCAATGAGAGACTATCACGGTATGCTTGCAGAAGTCGGTTTCAAATCTGTGGTGCCCCTTTATTTGCAAAAAGATGTTGCCAAACCGGTGAGCTTGGCTGATTGTCGTCTTGCTTGTGCCGTGAAGCGGCTAGTAGCCAGATTTCTTAAGACTTGTTTGGTTAGCAGTTAGCAGTCCGCTTTTGGCGCAAGCTGTTCCTGTTGCAGTGTGAACGTGTGGGCAGTGCAGGAAAAGGTGATATATGAAATGGTAAGCTGTTCGGTCTGAAACACCGTATTTTCAGAAAACTATGGGGACCTTGTTGAACCTTTGGAATTATTGCAAGTTGCAGCCGGCCATCATCTTGGCTTGCACTCCGCATGCTGTTGGCTCAGTGTAGTTCCCGCGCGTTGCTTCAGTTGCTATTGAAACCCGCTCGGTCACCCAGCGCCATGCCGGAACCAACAGCGGAAACTCGATGATATGTCAAGTCTAACAGCCTGCTGTTTTTGTTTGTTGCAAACACGGATGGTTGTGAAGGAGGTTGATCGGAGTTGAAACGCATCTACATTCACTTACAAGGTCTCTAGCAAGTTTTGCGGTGTTGTCGATGGACGACATCGCATATGTTCTTTTGCCGTACTTCTATGTTCCAATCTAAGGCAGTCACAGGAGGAGAGTTATCATGTAGAGACCTTACACAAGCTTTATATACCCAGTATGTAACTTCCCATTGTCCCTATATATACGCCTTATATACGCTTCGTGCAAAGTCCCCCAATTGGAAACTCCCCTCTTGTAGTTGGTCCGTATCCAACTTGCTACGAAATTCGCAGTTTTGAAATGGTGAACTCGTAGCTGCGCCAGTTAGACGAATATCAACGACATGCCTTTCTGAGGGTTTCCATCCAATGTTGAGGCAGCTGTTTCCAAATTTCAATAATGGTCTCCTGATTATCATGCAGGAAGCGCCGGAAGCATCCAAAGTGGTGCCTGTGAACAGCATCATGGTGAAGCGTGTTGCAGACTACTTGCCAGAGAAGCTGGTGGAGAAGACCGGGAATCCCAAGGCAAGTGGTAGGTTTCCCAGAATAGGGATACCCCAATACAGACCCCAAAATAGTATAAGGATTATGGAATCCCAAGGCAAGTGTTTGGATTTGATCTGCAGGCTGTATTTGTGTTAGGTTTTTAAGGTTTAGGGTTCAGGGTTTAGGCTTGAGGTTTTAGGTTTAGGATTCAGGGTTGAGTGTTTAGGGTGATGTCATGTTGGGCCGACAATACCACACCAGAACTACCCTAGATAAATTTGATTCAGATACCTTTGTCTCAAGGATGGGTGACCATCTAGCAGCATGGCATTTCTGGTCATGGTTTGGCGCCCACTAGTTGAATTCCGCATTGAACACGACCCCCGTAAACTTTGATCCTCATTCTTTCATGCCCACCCTGAACCCTAAACCCTAAACCCTGTAGTAATTTCCATTTTCTTTTCCATGTCTTCCTTCCTAGCTAACCAACGGTAAGACTATCCTCTACAGGCCAAGGAAACCTTTCTGGCGATGGCCTGGTCGCAGTGGACCGGGGGTTTCTTGGGTTTGGCCGACAACCTCATCACCAGTGACAAGGGGGTGACCAGTGGTGCCAAGGACACCTAAACCCTAAACCCTAAGCCCTGAACCCAGTGAGACCTCTCCCCACACGCTGCAGGGGTTTCCCTGAATTGGAGACACCAACTTTGGGTGTTTTTGTAGGGACTTAAGTTGTGCAGGGAGTATGTTGAAAGTGTGGGTTGTTGTTCCATGTGCTGACATCCTGTAAACCTTCACTTTGAAGTGGTCTTACAGTTTGGACCGGAAACTTCAGGAGAACTTGGTGAACGAATGTACCAACACGGGCTTGATCAGCGCCTTGATGCTCACCATTGTGCTGCCCATGAGCTTTGAGAGTGTCACCGACTGGCTGGAAGAAGACTATGTCGGGAGCGGTTACGCGTTCATGGATAGCTATATCGGACAGCAACTCACAGAGACACAAATCCAGAGACTTGGATGCACGTGCAGGAGTTTGCATCATAGTGTCCACTAATGAAAAGATCAAGCGATGGTAATGGTGATGGTGATGATGGTGGCGGTGGCGGCGGCGGCTGTGGTGGCGGGAGTGGGAGTGGGGTGGGAGTAGGAGGAGTAGTTTTATTCTTGGTACGATGATGTAGATAGGAACAGTAGGAACAGTAGCCGTTGTGGTAATGGTTGTACGAGAAGCAAAGTAGTCCTAGTAGTAATAATGACGGCCATAGTGACGATAATATCAAGGTTCAAAAGATGATGTTTGCATGGGCGCAGGATATGGAGTTTAGGCAATATACGTCATGTTGAGACTCCCAGGTAGGGGTTCTATGTAAGAATTGTGAATTGTGGTGGACCTGCTGGATGGTCAGCTTATATGGGGCAATTGTCAACATCCAACGGCAAGCCATATTTCTTGCTTGCAAGTTGATGGTCAAAAGTAATGTTTGCAGAGCGTCAGATATGTATACACATTTAGGTTCACATGCGTGCCTACATGTTTTTGCCATGATGGCATTTGCGCATTCCAAACGGTCCAAGCGAGGAGCGCCCTGTCGGGGTTGAATGACTTCGCTCTTATCTTCTATGTGCTCGGCACTTTCGGGTTTCTTGCTTCCACCGTGTTGACTGTGATCATGCTGCTGTGTTTGGGAGAGGTCTCTACAGATAGTGGCTGCGAAGAGTTCTTGCGACGCACGGGCAAGGGAACGAGAGCGCCGTATCTCTTATTCATGACCGGGTGCGCCTTTGCTGTTCCTGCCGCTGTGCGCTATGCGGTGAGCAGCAAGACGCTTCCAGGCCTCATATTGCTGGGCATTGTGATCGGCTTAATGTCCTTTGTGGTGATCGGCTTTTCCTACGTTTACGTAGCGCATCTTGCTTGAATCGAAGTTGATGAATGTTTTGCTGGGCGTGGCTTCTGATTTGAAGCCTTTCAGGTCTCATGGCAATATAAGCACCTCAATGATACCCGTTCGTGATCTTTCTCTACCAATTTCCTGACAGGAAGCAAGATCCTGTTGCTTTGGCGTATTTCAACAAGAGTCATATCGCAAGAGCCATATGGCACTGTACCAAGAACATTTGTATACATCGGAGTGCGGCGTGCTGCTTGTGTCCAGGAGTTGTGTCTGCGCACACAATCGAATCAACGAATTTGGGGAGCTGAGCCTGTCCAATAATGACGCACAGCAAGACGTTGAGGCATGGTTTGAGAAGAGTCTTGGATGACTTACTGATTTTTCGTAAGAAATAAGAGAATATAAGCCGTATACATTTCTTAAATAAGATATTCCCTACTAACCCTAAACCCTCAAACCAAAAGCTTAAACCTAAACCACATATATGTATATATATATTTGCATATATATACGTATATATATATATACATATATATATATACACGTCCTGTTTCCCTACTACTGGATGAGGGGCCAGATGAAGCTAGGCAATGGCCAGTTGAGTACAGGTTTAGGGTGTGGTGGACTCAGGAGTTTTTAGGGTTCAGGAGTTTAGTGGTTTTAGGGTTCAAGGGTTTTTTTGGTATAGGGGGTTTCAGGGTTTAGGGGGTTTCAAGTTTAGGGGTTTAGGGGTTTTAGGGGTTTAGATGAGCTTGTCTTTATTTAGCGCTCCGGAAGGATAGGGGTTTAGGGTTTAGGGTTTAGGGTACTTTGCACCCGGAGCTCCTAAACGCAGATGAGATGTTGTCTAAATTCCGTAAGAGTGGGGTCATCTAGGGGATTACATAGGCTTCAGGACTTAGGGTCTAAAATCCTCAAGGCCAGGTTTACATACATGGGTTGTCCTCAAATTTGTTGGGCCCGTTTTGGCTCTAGATTATATCGTGGCACTTCACATTTAGGGGTACCAAAATGGGCCTCTAATTTTGGGATCTACCCATATATATGTATATGTATTAAACTTCTGCTTGGACATAAATCTCTCCCTCCCTCATGGAAACTCACTGTGTATCGCTCAGTTGTACAGTCAATTTTACTTTACGCTATGGAAAGTGCTCAGCTTACTCCTCCACAATTAACTAGAATTGACCACGTACATTTCAAGGCTATTCGACGCATCTTTGGTATCAAGTCCTCCTTTTACCATAGGGTCCTCAATCCCACTGCGGAAGAGTGCTCCAACCAATATTTGACGGGCCTTGCATACATTCCCGTCGAGTAGTTACCCCCTCTCAAATCTACTCTCAAAACCGACTCACTTTGCTAGGTCATTTATTTAGGCATCGCGATTCTCTGGAATTTCACTCTACTTGTATGCCTTCCGATCAGTATAGGTCTACCAGAGGCCCCAATAGAGTGGGACGCCCGAGACTCTATTGGGCAGAATCCACAATGGCCGAGGCGTCACAAGGCCTAGAGCATCTGGCCTCAGACGACCGTCCTTCCCATCATGACATACATCACTCCTTCTTTCGTATCCCTAACATTACTTCAGTCAGATCCTCTCATGTATCTTCCTCCTTAATGTGGATGGATAGCACCTCCTTGTACCGTAGAATTTTATCTATGACTCAGAATAGAAGGGCTTGGGCAAGTTTAGTACATAAACCCCCTAAGAAGCCAAGTAGTAGATAGCTGCCGAAGCTGGCGGCCTTTCTGACAGAGGCTTGCGCATTGAAAAAAAATATATACATGTACATATATGGGATTCTATAGGCTATGGGTACTATAAAAGGGTGTATTACGGGGGATACTAAGAGTTCAGACAATGGCTGATATGGCCCTTTCCGGCCTTTTTCTTGCTATGCTGCATTGAGTCATATTCTACTCGCTATGTACGAACACTTGTATTTCACTGTACCGTACCAGTTTTAGTTGTAGTTAGTACTCTCTACTACAAGCAGCAGCAGCAATCGTATTCGTGGGAAAGGCCAGTGCATCGCAGAACCATGCGGCCATGGTAGCCGAGGAATGGAGAAGATGGTGGTTCTGTGCAAGAGTGTTTCTCGTCCCATAGACTGTTTGGGTTTTCAAAGTTTCTGGTACTTGTGGCTTACGCGTCACACAGACTTGAACTTGGTCCATTTTCGCTGCGTTTGACATCGTTTCTTCTTCAGTTTGTGCAGTGACCTTGATTTTGACATGCAGCCACGGGCCCACCTCCAAGGAAGGAGGAACATTCAACTGTACTTAGCTTCACAGGAGCAGAAAGCATATCAGGCACCGTTTCAATTGATGATGTGCAGGCTTGTCTCGACGTGGTGGACCTATCTTGCATCTCAGGGCAACACTATACGGTTTGACCTAAGCACCCTGCACCTGTTTTTCCGGGCTCAAACACCACGTTGCGATAGTGTATTCCCGTATCATTGTATCACGTATTTTGACATTATTGTATTACTGCACTTTGTGTTTCTTGTGACAAAGCATACAGTATTCTGATATGAGCCATAGTGTAAACTCGTAGTAGCTCCCCTAAGAACCCCTATGGCAGTCCCCGAAAATAACCCCGTCACATGGCGTGACGAGAGCATCAGGTTGACATTGCATCATTTTGTGCAGACCAAGCAAGGGTCGGTTTCCTTACGCGTCCTTGCAATTTGGGTTTCTGCTTACGGTATGGGTCCGTTGGTTAAGGCTTTCAAACAAAGGGGGGGTTCAGATTTGGGTAGAATACTGAAGAAAATGCTCCATATGCATAAGCTCGTTGAATGGGAAACTGGACTGAGCTAATGCCAATTGCTCTACAAGGGTAGATCTATCATGCGCGTACAGCCAATGTATGTGCATGCGTACCTCAAATGTTTTGATCAGGCACCCTATGTTTGTGGTTGCGCAAAGCATGTCACGGGAACAGGGCCTCTCAAACAACTTCATGTTTGATTTCGGTGGCCCCTAACCCAAGTCTTTCAGTCAACCCTAAGCTCTAGAGGCCATAAACCCTCAACCCTTGCGGACCAGGCCTGCAAGATTTGGCCGGGATTCTGGTCGACAAAACCCAGAACAGTGAGTTGATCATCAACCTCAACACCTTGTCGCGACAGCGTGTAGCAATGCACTACCACAAGCTCAGAGCTGAGAGTGTGCCTCTGTCTGAGATTGGCGAGTTGCCTAAACCCTGAACCCCAAACCGCAAACTTGGATTGTGGGTGTTGGCAACGATCAACCGGGGCTTTAGAGTCCCTGTATGAACCAATAGCCGTTGGGTCTTGTGATGGTGGTGTGTCATGTATCAAGCATTCTGTGACGTGTTTTCTTGTTGTGGACAGGACGGCCGGATTTGTCGGCGGTTTTTGCGGGAGGACTGACTAACCTTGGCACATGGAAGGATCCATTTTGTCACCAAGGTCGGCATCACGCTGTCGCAGTCCGACCTCTACAACCTCTCTTGCCAACTCCCAGCGTCCTAGGCGTGGAGACATTCCCTTGAAGCTGGCAAGCATACAGCCAGCGCGCCTGGAGACTTGCCCTTACGGCTTGGAACTTGAAATTACCCTAGCCATGGTAGAGTATTCGTATGAGCTATAGCCCTAAGTCTTATACCACAATGGCTATATAGCTGTCAATGAGGTGGGGCAGTATCCAAAGCATCTACGTTTTGGGATATTGCATGTCTGAACTCCTCAAAGGGCTTTTAGGGGATTATACAGGGGTGTATTCTGGGGCTTATGAAGGGGATACTAGGAGTGTAGATTATGGATCGTGTAGTAAATTGCATGCTTCTATGGTTGGGAAACTCGTATGCTGCAACCACTTTCTGGGATGCAAACAACCCGACCCGCGAACCCTCAAGCGCGGCTTCGGGCACTGATCTTACTCTGTCGTGAGAAACAAAGCCTTCGTGCTTTACTACGGTACTATCTGCGCAAAAGAATTTATGCAGTGTAGTAAAAAGTACTGTTGTATTCCACAGTCTGTAAATAGTTATAACCCTAATATAACCCCAATATAACCCATACATAACCCTAATATATAACCCCAATATATCACCCGAATGCTACCCCCCAATCCCAAGCCCCCTTATGTCATCAATCGATGCCACTGGGCAAGGGTCCCGGGGGCAAAGTGACCCATTGGCGACGGTGGGGTAGTCTGGGCGGCTAGCTGCAGTCTGGGTCTGGGTCTTTGACGCTGAAAATGGCAGCACCACCTAAGAACTGGCATGAACGGACGCCTGAACTGTAAGGTTTGGCAGGTAGCATGCCTCTTAGACAATACTGTGCCCTAAACCCTAAACCTTAAACCGTAAACCCTAAGCCGCTTTTGAAGGTGTTATGCTTCATTGTTCATGTCACGGGTGGACACTGTCTGTGGCAGTTCGCCCACACCTTTTTTTTTGGTTTCCAATCGTTTTCTGGAAGCCAGGACGAGGCAGCTGGTGCCCAAATGTTCTATAGTCCAAACTCCTTAGACGGGGTTGTAAAGGGATTATTTAGGGGACTGCTATAGGGGCGGGGTTAGAAAGGGGGATACTCGGAGTTTGGACTATAGCTCAAGTGTACCCTTAAGGGGGCCCCCTCAGCACAAAATTTGCCACCATTATGGCAGGGCAAGAAAATGCTGACGTCGACAAGATGCGCATGCTCTGGAGTACCGCAAAAGAGAAGCTTGTACTTCGCCCGCTGAAGCAGGATTTCGCCCATACCCCATCGACCCAAGACATACTCAATGTATAGTCCCCCTTAAATAGATAGAAGATGGCTTTGCGTATATTATAATAAGATCCCCATATACCCAGTATTCTATCTACTCAAGGGGGACTATATTCTGAATACACAATATACCCAATGTTATGCTGCCATCTGCTAGTTTTGCTCTGCCAGGCACCCGACACCCTAAGCCTTAAGCCCTAAACCCTAAACTCTAAACTCTAAACTTCAGGAGGCATTTTCTAATTGCTTTTTGTTTTGCTGTGTTATGTTGAGGCTCATCGCGGACCCGTCTAAACTCCTAGCATCCCCCTTTTAGGGTTTTGGATTTAGAGTTTAGGGTTGAGGGTTTAGGGCTAAAATCGTAGCATCATCCCTAATAGCCCCCATAATGTATACTCCCGCACATAACCCCGTTCCAGGAGTTTTGACCCTCAAGCCTAAGCCCGAAACCCTTGAGGAGTTAAGGGTTTAGAGTTTTCGGTTTAGGGGTTTGTCTCATCGGTTGCCATTGCAGAAGCCCACTTCAGCCTGAACCCTGGCGTCATGAGAATCTTCGCAATGAGAGCCTTCGCTTAGTGACCGCTCCCTTTCTGATGAGATTTCTAGAGCTGGACCTCCCCACCCAGGAATGGTGACTTTCAAGGATGATGGTCCTAAACCCTAAGCCCTAAACCTTAAACCCCAAAGCCTAAACCCTAAACTTATATTGCTATTAGTCTAAATCCTCTGCAGAGATGCCTCTCTTCCCTTCTTTTTGCCCTAAGCCCAACCCTCCAAGATCCTGGCTTAATTTGGGGTGGGTTTAGGGTTTAGGGTTTAGGGGGTAGTGGGTTTTGAACTCATGGTCGGGCTCAAATGAATACATTCTGGGCCATTCCCCCTTAGAGTAGCTGTGCTTAAAGGGGCTTTATGAGGAGGCGATTATGACTCCTAGTATTTCTGGTGGCAGCGGGTACTGTAAGGAGGAAGGACCCAAAATACATTGCTGATGCGATTGGTGTGTTTAGTTTGAGAATTTTTGCCGGACTGTTTGAGAAATCAACAAGCATCTCGTGTGCCTGATACAAAATTTAGGGCTTAGGGTTTGAATATTCTATTGCTAGGACAATGTGTTCCAGTGGGAACACCCACTCTTAGGGGGGTGGGGGTTTGATTGTATATTCCAAGAAGGGACTATTCTGGAATAGGCTTGCATGCTCAAAGACGGTTTCGTTGGAAATCCAAAAAGCCAGTGGAGTCATCTGAGCTATAATCTAAACTCCTTCAAAGGGTGTTCTACTCGGGATTATATGGGAAACTACTACAGGGGTTGTCAAGGGGGATATTAGGAGTTTAGACTATAGCTGGTTTGAAGTTCCCACGACAGATGAACCTTGGCTTGCGTTAGCGAGTGATCCTGACCGTCTTTGCAGTTCGAGTGTTTGCAGTAATGTGTCATGGAATCATCAGAAAAAGTTCAGCAACGAAGCCTACATGCCACGTGTTGTATGTGGGAGTGACTCTAAGGCAGAATGGTGATCTCTTGAATTCTTACTTTACCACTATTACAGGGCGTCCACCAACAGCATAGTCGCAGTGGGAGTAGGAGTCCTATTGTTCTTATTATTGATAATATTGTTATCATGATTGTTTGTACTACCATTCTTCTTATTATTGTTATTACTACTAAGCCGTAAAATCTAAACCCTATTCTCATTATTGCGCTTTTTTCCTTATTATTACCATTATTAGTGCTATCATTCCCATTATTAAAAATTACTACTATTGCTACTGCTACTACGGTGGATACTAAAAATCCTGCATGACCCTAAATACCCTAAACCTTGGGAATAATGGTACTATAGTATACTAAGGTCATGCAGGATTTTTAGTATCAACAGTATTATTATTGTTATTGTTATTATTATTATTGTTATTATTATTATTGTTATTATTATTATTGTTATTATTATTATTGTTACTATTATTATTGAGTCCTATCTTCCCTGCCGGGCGTGATTTGCCTCTGGCGAAGCCTCGAGGCAGCTGCTCAGCCGAGGGCTCGGCTCACCTGGGGGCTTAGATGAAGAGTCACTTTGTAAGATCTAGGGTTTAGGGTTTAGGGGTCTAGGGTTTAGAGTTTAGGGTTTAGGGGTCTAGGGTTTAGGGGTCTAGGATTTGTTTATGGATGGCTAATACGGTCAGAATTTTATGGGTAATTCTCAGAATTATGGGCC